TACACTCACTTAAAGATGTTCCATCAATCCTTCCTTCTGGCTTAGTTCTTGGGTGTGTATTTGCCAGAGCATCTCCTGATGATGTTGTTTTGATGGCTCCACATTATCGTGGAAGAAAACTTTCTGATCTCCCTATCGGATCTACAATTGGAACAAGTGCTGTTCGGCGCGTAGCCACACTTACACGCAAGTATCCACATCTGAAGTTTGTATCCATACGTGGAAATTTAAACACAAGGCTTGCCAAACTCGATACTCCTCCAGCTTCCAAGGATAATTGCTGTTTAACCAATCCATCTCCAAGTTATGATGCGATCATCCTAGCTAAGGCGGGTGTTGAGAGGATGGGCTGGTCACACCGTATTGATCAGGTCGGTTTCTCTATTGTTTTGAGTAATTGATATGTGACCACCATTTGTTTAAAAATTGATACGGCTATTAATTTCTTAACGATAATCACTTTTCCCATGAATTCGTAATGAAACAATGTATGCCGTTTAACTCGGTATTCGTGAGACAATAAAGACCAAACTGCCCCCAAATACCCTTGTACGATCGAGGGTGGGGAGAGTCCACTCTCCCACCCTAAATCCACGCACATGCAGCCACTGCTAGGAAGGTTCTACTCACTGTCTTTTCGTGACGGGGGTGTTCTTTACAAAATTGGGAGGACGAAAAGTGAATATCAGGCGCTTCAGCCGGGTTGGTGGACACAGGTTTCACCTAGAGGAGTTAGAAAGCCCTAATTTCAAACCAGTGGCGCACATGGGCTCCAGTATCCTGATTAAAGAAATGGCGTATGGGTCAATCGTTGACCACCGGCTACCATGGGACTGCATCTTACGTTGCTCAACTACCTCTTGAATCAAACCTTCAAGTCGAAGGCTCCGGGTGTGGCCTCCTCAGAAAACCACCTGCCTCGGTTTTCGCATCCGGGCAGTATTATGACTCACACACAAATCAAGTGACTTGCGTAGCGCATATGTATTCAGTGTCCCTTTGTACCGATATTTGTGTTCAAATAAATAAATATGGTTTCTTTTACTAATCATCATCACTCTCATCACAGTAAAATCCCTCAAATGACTTTTATTTCTAAAACAGTTAAGTACTTAGATATCTTAAATTTGTAGTCATTTGCTCCATGTACTTATAGCATTCAATTTGTCATGAACCAGTATTTTTTTTACCATTATGACTATATTCTGAGATAACTCTCTGCACACTAACACACGAAGTCTAGTATGTATACTGGTTTAGTATCAATTTACGTTGCTAAATTCATGTTAGGTTTAGATATCCGCTTGTATGAGTCGCCATTAAATGACTAAACCGCTTTGAGTTGAATAAGTATTATCTTGATTTATAGTTGATTTTCTAATATTGATCATGTATATGGATGACTACAAACGCATACTTCTGATCTAAATGGCATATTGTACGTATTGTTTAAGAAAATTAGTCCCACCAACAACATAATGAAAAGTCTCAATTTACACTGATAGGTTTATTCAAGTACCTCAGGGAAAAGATCCTTATCAATCAATTCGCATTGCCACAAATCGTATGAACTTGGCCTTGATGAAAACTTATAATCTGCGAAACATTAGAACATTTACGAACCTTTATGACGATAAACCTATCAGTGTAAACTAAGACTATTTATTATGTTGTTGGTGGGACTAATTTTTTTTAAAACAATATGTACAATACGCTGTTTGGATCAGAAGTATGTTTTTGTAGTCAACCAAGTTTTACAATTATAGATGGGTTTTCAACACATTGAGTTTTAAGATAGTAACAGAAAGTTGTAAATATTCTGGTAACTAGGTTTTTTGACTCAGTTGTTCTGAAATGTTGATAAATCTATAGGGTTTCAATCCTTCAGAAGTTTAAGTAAAACTTGTATCAAGAATTGTCTTAATTATCATGAGTCATTTTTTGTTTCCGGATGTTTTTACCTTCTGTAGGTTTTAACCGATTCTTTTTATGCTGTAAGTCAAGGTGCATTGGCTTGTGAATGTCGTCAAATCGATAATTTCATCATGAATTTGTTGTCGGGCATCCATGACGAGTCAGCTGCCTTAACAACTATTGCTGAGCGCAGTTTAATGCGTCAGCTTGATGGTGGTTGTTCTATCCCGATCGGTGTGCGCAGTGATCTTGTTTTAAAAGGAGACTTGATCTATTCTCAACTTACTCTTCATGCAAATATACTAAGTGTTGATGGTGGGAAGAGTATAGAAAGATCTGCCTCTGTTGTTTTCCCGGATAAAACGCCCGTAAATGATTGTGTGGAGTTCAGTTGCAAATTAGTGCAAAAATCGAGCGGTTATGATGACGTTAGCACAAATACACCAATAATCGAAAGTAATGGGACATCACTAACCTCTATTACTAAAGTAAGTTGTTTATTTCTCTCGTTTGTAGAAATAAACTGTCCATCCTATTTTATTTCAGTATAAAAATTGAATTATTCATATATATAATATCTAGATGTTTATATTCTTGATATGACGCGTATAACTTGAGCACTAGAACGAATTAACATCAGGATCCAAACCAATATATGATGAATACAGTGATCTTGAATGCTGTTAGAGGTATGATGGTAGTTATCACTTCCCGGTTACCCACACCGTGGAAGGGTTCTTCTGGCGGCACCTGAAAAGGAAATTTGGTTAGGGATGGCCTTAGTGACCTGAGAGCGTGACCGCAGTGCCCAAGGGACATCTGCTTGAGGTCGGACACACACGACCTTTTAATGATTAATTTTTGTGTTAGCTCCGTACTTATTGGAACCTTACCACCAGAGACGGAAATACGTGGAATAAGGCGATATGTGCATTTTAGGCTCGACCTTTTCCAACCCCACACCCTCCTTATGAGGAGGTAGCATCACTGTTATGCCGGTTGTCTGAAGGAAACACCTTCTTACTGTCGTTACACCTCTGTATAGTCAGCAGTACGACTTCGCCTTTGGGCCTTGGATTTGCTGGTATCAGTCTTACCGTTCTTCAACCAACCTGTATGGTATGATAGGACTTTGAGGAACGATTGCCCAAACCAGTATAGCTCGACTGGTTCATCACGATAGACTAGCCCGACCACTATGTCAAAGTAGCAGCAACGGTCGGGAATATATGATAAGAATTATGCAAAATATATCCGCCGTCAGCTGTTTGTAAACATGGGACAGTTTACTAAAGAACTAGAGACAGTTGTGTGTATTAGATTACTAGTTTGATAAAGATGTTCAGCCTACTGAATCAGTTATGTCTTTGTATCAACAAATTCTGAATAACTTTTTGTTAAGAATCTGCAAACGCCAATTACGACTTACGAGAAGGGAAACCAAATCGATATAAAAGGTAAATATATGGTTAACTTTCAGTACATTCTCGTTGCGTTACTGTATTCAGTTTTAATTCATTTTTACCGTGATTGTGTTTAGTGACAATCACTTAATTCATAAATATTGATTGTTGAAACTAATATATAACCGATTTTCCCAAGATCCATTTTCAATTCCGTTGGAATTATTTTCAACGAGGCTTTCGTTACAAAAGCGGACTTCTGTCTGTAGTGAATGAGGCAAAAAAAGTGTGAAGGTGATTTTATTCACTGTAGTGAGGTCGGAGTTATGAATGTATTAATGGAGTACACAAAATTATCACTTTTACTATTCTTGATTATTTCATAATATAGATATAGATTGTAACCACGTGGTTTGAATTAGTAACTCAACATTTACAAGTTCTTTGCCGTGAAGTTAGATAAAACGGTTTTTAATGGCTCACAGTTTTTTTTAAAAATTATTGCTAGAATTAACTTATATTGCTTACTATTTTGTGTTTCTACTTTGTTACCAGGATGAGTTAAAAGCAGCATTGGATGCAACATCTATATTTATGGGAGTTTTAGTTACTCCATCATCCGAAATTTCCCGTCTCAGAATGGCTATTGCTCAAAGTTTGGGCTGCGTAGTAGCACAAAGTCTTCGTCTATCCGGTGCTGATGAGATTCTTTATGAAATACGCTCCCAATCTAGTGGGTGAAGTAGATTCCAATCAATAGATATTAGTTTTCTTCAAATGACAATCCTTGCATTTTGTTTTGGTTCTTTCATAATTTATGCTCTCATATTGTTTATCTTTTGGCTCTTCATAGAAAAGTGGATTTGTCATGTTTACATGTAAATTGTTTATTAAAGTTGCCCCATAGATTGTAAATACTAACATTGTGAAAATAAACGTTTGCGATTAAAATAGATGTAGTTATTTGAATAATCTTAATATTTTAATTGTTCTAAACATATGTTTCTCATTTTGATGCTCCAAGTTACTATTATATTATTAGGTGTTTGAAATGCTTCGATACAAATCCCGTCAGAGCATATTTTGCATTCCCAAATGCAAAGTTTTGAGTGGCGATTTGTTGACCATATACTCTAATTTATCTGGGTTTTTTATCATTAATATATGTTTCTATCTTCCGTTGAAGAGTTATCCCCGACTTAAGGTGATATATTTTGTTATATCACCTAAGTTCATCATCATATTCAACTTACTGATGAGTAGTAGTCATACTCATACGCTAAACTAAAAGTTGTACTTTCTGTGAAAGTTAACAAAATAAAATTATTTTCCGGATGTAAAGTTGACGTTTTGTATTTTTTGTCAGTTTTTTTTATATTACATCAATTTAAGCTTAGCAAACAAAACTTTTAGTTTCATTCAACTGTTCGATTATGCGGTTACTCCTTTTTCAAAATGACCCATAGGAACTGCAAATATGTTACCCATTGTATGAGTTGAGTATAAAACAACTTAATAATATGTTTAGAATTGTACTGGTTTATCTAGTTCATTGAATTCATGATCAATCTATGCCCTCTTTAAAACTCATATTCATAGTGGAACTGGTATTAAATTGTCTTATTGGGGATTGAACTTCAAAGTTATATATCTTACTAAAAAATAGGTTTTTTTCTTATTTTAGAAACATTGGTTCAGACTTAAAAGTAAGTCCTTGATTGTGGATATTTTAATATGTATATAGAATGATATATGGATAATTCTATGTCCTGTAAATGAAAACAATTGAAAATTGCTATCAAAATAAATTCGTTTTATTTTACTCCCAATATTTCACGTTAACTCCTGATCTGTTGTTATTGTCCCATCTTAAGTAAATGGCCAAATTTTATTTTGTTTACAGTTTTCGTTACCGTGATAGATAGTGTATTTCTGGTTTTGATCGTCTACGTAATATTTGATGATGAATCACATTTGTGAGTGCTTTAGCTGATTTATAACTTTACCGCATAGATTCTAATGGTTATTTTTCGCAAAAGTTGAAAGTCAGAAATTTTAGTGTGACCGCATGCATAACAACTAACAATATTTAAGTTAGAGCTACACATATAAGCGAACAATTGTTTTCAATTAGATCGTCATCAAGCTTTACTCTAATATATATGAATATTTATACGAAAATGTTAAACCAATCAAGGCAATATGGGTCAATAATCACAATAAAATAGAAAAAGTCACCACACATAATAAGTAGAAATACAAGTTGATAGTAGGAAGACAAGCCCGACCGTTGTTGCTACCTTGACGTGGTGGTCGGGCTTGCCTATCGTGATGAAGCAACCGAGCTCTACTGGCTGGAACAACCGTTCCTCAAGGTCCTACCATGTCAGACAGGTCGGTTGAAGAGCGGTAAGACTAAAAGCAACAAACCTAAGGTCCGAAGGCGAAGTCGTACTGCTGACTGTACAGAGGTGTGACAGCAGTAAGGTGTTTCCTTCAGACAACCAGCATGACAGCGATGCTGCCTTCCCACAAGGAGGGGTGGGGTTAGAAAAGGTCGACCCTAAAAATGCACACCTCACCTCACGGATTTCCGTCTCCGGCGGTAAGGCTCTTTGAAGAACGGAGCTAACACGTCAAAAACCTTCTACAAAAAGGCCGTGCGCGACCGGCCTCAAGCAGTTGTCCCTTGGGCTCTGCGGTCACGCTCCCAGGTCGCTGAGACCGCCTCTAATCCAATTTCCTTTTCAGATACCTCCAGAAGAACCCTTCCACGGTGTGGGCAACCGGGAAGTGATAACCGCCCTCATACCTCTAACAGCACCCAGGACCACTGTATTCATAATCAACCTTCCTCTTCAATTCCTATTATTCCTCCTACATCGACTTTCAACCCTAAACTTCCTCCTTCGGCTTCTTCCTCAAGTGTCACCATAGCCAACGATTCTAGTGCTCAAAACTCTGTCCCAGGTCTACTGAAACCTCGCTCCAAACTACACATTGGAGCTTTCAACGTACGCACTCTATGTCAAATCGGTCAGCAGGCTTCCTTGGCTAAAACCCTAGAGTCTCTTTCCATCGATGTATGCTGTGTCTCCGAAACACGCATACAGGATTCCAGTGTGATCATTCACTTGACCTCACCTCGGCAAAACGGAGAGCCAACGAGATACACCCTACGTGTATCTGGTGACCCGATGGCCAGTTCTCGTGGACTGGCAGGTGTAGGCATAGCACTAAGCATGAGGACGGAACAAGCACTGTTAGAGTGGATCCCCGTCAACAGTCGTCTATGTGCTGTTCGGCTAAACGGCTCCGTAAGAACTCGGAAGGATAGGGACACACGTCGTCGCCTTTTTGTCGTTTCTTCCTACGCTCCCACTGACTGCAGCTCAGATGAAGTGAAGGATGAATTTTACAGAAAGCTTTCTGAACTTCTTCAGAAAGCTAAACGCTCAGACATAGTACTCGCAGGGGGTGACTTTAATGCTCAGATAGGTAGCTTAAACCAAACAGAAAAGCATTTAGGTGGGTATTTTAGTATTCCGGCACAACGAACATATAATGGTGATCGTCCGTTGCAACTGTGCTCAAATTTTAAGCATAAGGAGTGACATCGTCTAACATGGAAACTCTACACCAAACCAACGATGGACTTAAATAGACCATATTGCCATCAGTCATCGTTGGAGAGGGTCGGTAGAAGATTGTCGCTCATTCTGGAGTACTTGCTTGGATTCCGACCACGCCCTAATACGGGCACGCATCTACTTGCGCCTCACCGGACGCAAAAAAGCCACATTAAAAAGACCCATTAGAATTGAGTTGAGTAACGAGAAAACCAAAAGTAAGTTCCAGGAACAACTGAGGTCACACTTAGGTAGTTCTGAAAACGAGGCTGACCCAGATGTTGCTTGGAAAGCTATACAAGCAGCTGTGGAAGCAGCAGTGACATCTATTAGCAACTTAAACCACAGAGTTTCAAAGGACCAGTGGATTTCTTCAAAGTCTATCACACTGATGGATTCTCGCAAACTCGTCCCATCAGGTTCCGAACATGATGAAGAGCGACAACAAATCAGATCTAGGTTAACCAAAAGTCTAAGGAACGACCGTGAGCAGTGGTGGGCAACGAAAGCAAAAGAGATGGAAAAGGCGGCGACTATAGGGAACACAAGACAGCTCTACAGATTAATCAAAGAAACTGGAATTAATAAGTCAAGTGTAAGTCAGACTATTTCGGAAAAAGACGACACCCTCATCTGCTCTCAGTCCAGACGTTTAGAACGATGGGCGGAACACTTTAGGGAACAGTTCGGTTGACCTTCAGCTACTCTACAACTACCCTCCATTCCCAGACAGTGTGAATGGAACATTGAAGTAGGTCCCCCAACTCTTGCTGAAGTTCAAAAGGCTATAGATAATCTGAAACGAGGAAGGGCTGCTGGTCCAGATGATCTGGCTCCAGAAGTCTTTAAGGATGGTGGTCCAATTTTAGCGGTTAGGTTGACTAATATTTTAGCTAAAATCTGGGAGTTAGACGTTATTCCATCTGACTGGTCACAATCACTTATCGTCCCAATATATAAGAAAGGGTCAAAATCATCCTGTGACAACCACAGAGGGTTTAGTTTAACTAATATAATATCTAAAATACTAGCCTCAATAATAATCAGACACCTAACTAAAACTCGTGAACTGCAAACACGAGAAAATCAAGCTGGCTTCAGACCTGGTCGTGGCTGCATCGACCACATATTCACCATTCGTCAGGTTCTAGAACACAGGCATACTTATCGACGTCCGACAATAGTGGTCTTTCTTTACTTAAAAGCAGCAGTTGACTCGGTAGACCGCGAGATTCTGTGGCAGTGTCTGTCATTGAAAGGCGTACCTCAGAAGTATATTAACCTTGTAAAGGCTCCTTACTCGAACACTACTAGTCGAGTCAGAGCTTATGGTGAACCGTCATCTGCTTTTGCTACCTCAAGTGGTGTCCGTCAAGGCTGTCGACTTTCTCCATTTCTGTTTAACTTCATCATAGACCTATTGATGGAAATGTCGTTCTCGTCTACTGAATACTCGGGTATTGATCTCCTTCCAGGAGGTCCACTTATCGACTTAGAATACGCAGATGACATAGTCCTGTTTGGTGAAGACGCTGACAAAATGCACAGTTTTCTGGTAGCACTGAGCAACAATGCCAGAATGTTTGGAATGCGCTTCTCTCCCTCTAAATGCAAGTTGTTGCTTCAGGACTGGTCTGCGTCAACACCTGAACTTAGGATAGGGAGTGAAGTAGTCGAACGTGTTGACAACTTCACTTATCTTGGAAGTCTGATCAGCCCTAATGGGTGGGTGTCTGACGAAATCTCAGCACGGATTCGAAAAGCTCGCTTGGCTTTTGCCAACATACGTCACCTATGGCGAAGGCGAGATATCCGTCTATCAATAAAAGGACGAGTATACTGCGCGGCAGTCCGTTCTGTTTTAATTTACGGCTGCGAAACGTGGTCATTAGTAGTTGAAGATATTCGTAAACTACTAGTATTTGACTATAGATGCCTTAGAAATATTGCTGGCGTCTGCTGGGATCAGCGGGTAAGTAATAGTGAGGTTAGACGCAGGGTATTAGGGAATGATGGTAAATCAGTTGATGAGGTTGTGAATCTTCATCGACTGAGATGGTTGGGCCGACGTGTTACGTATGCCCGAACAACGATTACCACGACGCGCAATGCTAATCGGTGTTGGGGATGGTTGGAAGAAAGTTAGGGGCGGCCAAAGCAAAACGTGGCATGAGTGCTTGAAGTCACTAATTTGTAGTCTGAGCCATGTTGGTAGATGCAGACTACTTGGTTGGGGTCTGCGTGACTATCGTAACCAATGGTTGGAGACTCTTGGTGACATGGCTCAGAATCGATCACAATGGCGTCGGTGTATACACTCCCTGTCTTCCCTTAAACTAAGAGATTAAAATCGCTTCATATCTTTCTTTCTACGAACTAATTCTTTCTGCTTGTACTATATCTCTATACGCAATCTTTCTCTAATATATTACCACCTTTTACCTAACCACTGTTATGAATCTAGTGTTCATCTTGTTGTGTTGATGCGGTATGGCAACCTGGACCGATGCACATATGTGCATGGTCCTACGTTGTAGCTGACTGACTGAGTGTATTTCTACCTAATCATTCATCGGTCTTATTTTAGAAAAACAACATGTAGTATATATCCAAACTAGTTCTGTAACCTATCTCGTAGGTGTTCAAGTGTGTGTTGTGATACGGGCAGCTCATTACAATAGAAAGCTTACGCATTGTAAGGAACATTAATTGATGTGTAGAGGCAAGGTATAATGTGACTAAACCAAAAACTGACATCATTCCGTAGTCACTGACTGTTCCGAGCCACGTTGGTAGACGGAGACTACTTAGTTGCCATCCACGCAGTAATCGCGGTCGGTGGTTGAAGACTTTAATATGGCTTAAGGTTGATTGTGGTGGTATAGATGTATTCACTTTAAATCCAGTATTCCTTTTCTATTCTGTATTTTCTTACCATATTCTCAATATTTAGTCTTTTTCATTAGGATAACTACAACATTATTCATGTTAATTTTTCCTTTTGCCATTATGGTATTCAAACTTAGGCCACCAAATATTTGTGCTAGGATTTACGCTGATTATGAATGACTGATTGGACTAAAATTATTGTTAGACTTGATCAGTCACATAAAAAACTTTCCAATATCTTCTGTGATCATTACTAGCGTTTAGGTTTACTGTGTAACTGACAAATCACAGATTGTCTAAGTTGTTGGGAGTGATTGATGTAACCTATAAATTTCAACCACTTAGTTGATACTTTACTCATTGTTTGTTAATCGTGACGCAAACACACGGGCTGCTTCTGTATTTTCATACGAACAGTCAAAAAGTGTTCGATGACTTCTGGTATATTATTTTTTCGAATAAATTATTTTGTTATGACTTCTCTATGATTTACTTATGTCATAAATCCGGTTCTTAGTCATTATGTAATCTAATGTTGTTGGCCTCCAGTTGTATGGAAATCCTATGACCATCACTATAGGTTTATTTAGTCCCACAGGTCACCTGAATCTAAACTTCACTCTACTACAGTCCTATCTGTGGTTATTTATATTTTTGTTGTATAATTACTTGTAAGCCCTTGTTCGACACAAGCTACTCTTGTGATTTATGTTTCCCAAGATATCGTTAATTTATTGCAGGCCTGTCACTTTGTCCTCTTCCACTTATGGCGTAGTTGTTCCCATGTGATAATTTCTTAATCCTATTGATATGTGATCAGGATTTTGCCCTATATGATTGGTTTGAACTGTGTGATAAAAAGCTTTCTGTTTGTTACGTTATGCTCCATTCTGACTATCAGGCGAGTAAGGATGGGAGACTGGATTTCGGACCAGTAGTCACTTAGTGTTACTTTCGGTTATCTCGTGCTCAGGGTGTCTCTAATACCAGATAGACGATCTGGGCGAACTGATCAATGCTATGGTTTTATCTTAAGATCCAGTCTCACCATCCTCAAGTAAACTATTTATTTATTTGAACACATAAATATTGGTACAAGAATGCGCCACACAAAACAATGAGAATTTAAGGGGAAGGAGAAAAAAATTGATGTATGATAGCGTAATAATAATAATGGTAAAAATGGCGGAACAGAAAGGTACAATCAGAAAAAATCTTTCAGTTAAGGGAGAAACAACCACTTTATGAAGAAAGTAAAAGAAGGTTACAGAAGGATCGCCACTGGCTTCTATTCTGAGCCATATCTGATAACGTCTCTAGCCACTGTGTAGCACCATCTCTCGAATCCCAACCAGGGAGTCGTGAAGGACCGACAGAAGCCAGTCCTTTGCAGCTTTCTTTCATCCCACGACACCATGTCATGCACTGACCACCTCTCCGCTTCTTCCAACCAGTCCCAGAGTCGGCAAATAAAGCACGACGTGGAATTCTCTGGGATGACATTCGTAGAACATGTCCAAGCCACCGAAGTCGATGTTTCAAAATGGTGACACCAATTGAATTATCATCTCTGTGCCCAAACACACGATGCCGAACCTCTGCATTACTGACATGGTGTTGCCACTGAATGTCAGCAATCCTTCGGAGACAGCGATGATCGAACACAGAGAGTCGTCTAACGTCCTCAACTCGGAGAGGCCAGGTTTCACAAGCATAGAGCAAAACTGCTCTCACCGACGCGTTGTAGATCCGACCTTTTACAGCCAGACTAACATCACGAAGGCGCCAAAGATGGCCCAGATTGGCATAAGCCACTCTGGCTGTCACTATACGTGCATTGATCTCATCACTCACACCCGCACCAGCACTTATGCAGCTACCCAGATACACGAACTTCTCGACTACATTTATCTGCTCACCATCCAGGGTGAGTACAGGATTGGAATCCTGCCAGTCTTGTAGAAGTACTTTGCACTTCGAAGGTGCAAAGCACATACTATACCTACGGACATTGATTGCCAACTGATTGAGTGTGGTTTGGACATTATCGCACAGTAAGACAATATCGTCCGCATACTCAAGGTCGAGAAGTCTTTCTCCAGGCAACAGATCCACACCACCATTACTTACATTCATCAGAGCTGTTTCCAGAATGTCGTCGACGGCATAGTTGAAGAGGAATGGTGAGATTGAACAACCCTATGATGAGACACACCCTTCTTCAATAGACAATCCCAGAGAACAGTCCTATCCAACGAATCGAGGGCAGCCCTGATGTCAAGGAACACTACGATTGTTGGCCTTTGATAAGTATGACGGTGTTCTAACATTTGGCGGAGAGTGAAGATATGATCAATACATCCTTGACAAGAACGAAACCCAGCCTGCTCCTCGCGAGTCAATCTTTCTCGGGTTTTGAACAACCTACGAAGTATGACGGAAGCCAATAGCTTGGACGCAATCGGAAGTAGACTTATCCCCCGATAGTTGTTGCAGGAACGACGTGAACCCTTTTTAAAGATAGGGACCACTATCGACTCATTCCCTGACGTTGGTACACTCTCTAATTCCCAAACTTTTGTAAACAACGTCGTCAGTTCCTTTGTCAGAATGTCACCACCATCTTTGAAAAGAGCCGGAGGTAAGTCATCTGGGCCAGGTGATTTGTAGCGCTTCAAGAGTTGGAGTTCCTTGAGGACTTTCGCCTCATTTGGTGGATCAATCGTCACCGGCCATGGAGTGCAGGACAGTCTGATGGATGTTGCCGGAGTAGCAGGCCAGTTGAACTGTTCTTCGAAGGATTCTGCCCATCGTCCAAGTCGTTGATGGATGTTAGTGATTGGCATCCCGTCATCCTCACAGATTGTTTCGCTCACACCAAACTTCTTGCTGCCAGTGGCTCGGATGAGTTGGAAGAGCTTCTGGTAGTTACTAGATGCAGCTGCTGCTTCCAGCTCATTAGCACGCTTCGACCACCAAGCTTCTCGGTCCTTACGCAAGCTTTGACCAATTTCCTTACGTAACATCCTTCGTTTATGGTCATACGGTCACCCGAAGTCGACTGACGGGCTTCAATGAGTTGTAAGGAACCTGCAGAAATCCAGTGCTTATAAGCGGGACGTTTCGCGAACCCACAACTGACTGAACCCGCCAATTTCATGGCGTCATGCAATTGCAACCAATGCTCATCTATACTTTTCGGTGGAGTGGTAGCTAGCCTAGAGGCTAGCTCGGTTCGATACTTACTTGCAACAGAAGTTGCAACCAGCTTGCTAATATCAATCCTTTGGTGGCGGTCACTTCGTTGTCCACTGAAAAGTAAGGCAAGATTGGCGCAGACCAAGGCATGGTCAGAGTCCAGATAGGTACTCCAAAAGGAGCGGCAGTCTTGTACACAACCACGCCAGCGGTAGCTGATCGCGATGTGATCAATCTGAGTCCAGGCTTAGGATGCAGAGGGAGGACGCCAGGTGGCACATCGGCGATCACTGTGCCGAAAGTTAGTGCTAGCCAGAAACAGGTTGTGGTCTGTGCAAAGTTGCAGTAGACGGTCCCCGTTATCTGTCCTGCGACCAACGAGTCCCCATCGGCCACCTAAACGACTCTCTTCTGTGCCTAGACGCCTGACCTGAGCATTCAAGTCTTCGGCTAGTACTACAATATCTGTCGAACGCACTTTCTGGAGAAGAACAGATAATTGGTTGTAAAACTCATTCTTGATCGCATCCGGGCTGCAATCTGTCGGAGTATAGGCGGAGATGACGAGAAGACATCGTTTCTCACGCCGGTTTCTTCTCACTTTGATGGAACAGCACATAACCGACTGTTAATGGGGATCCAATCGACTAGTGCTGCCTCAGCTCTAGCGCTTAGTGCGACACCAACGCCAGCAAGACCAGACAAAGATGCCACAGGGTACTCGGATAAGCGCACGTAAAACAAGCTTTTCGAAGCGACAGATGGAGATCGAAATTGTAGTACTTCACCAGAGTCTTGAATACGGGTCTCGGATAGACAGCAAACTTCGATATTAAGACTTTCCAAAGACATGGCCAGCCCAATCTGTTGTCCGACCTGCACTAGTGTGCGAACGTTGAAGGCAGTCAGTTTGAATGGTGCATGTGGTTTCAGAAAAACTGCTTCAGTTCTCGTATTCGGTGGTAACATACAATTTGCAACCGGGCGGTGACTCGAGAACGTTTAGATACAGTTGAATTTCCACCAAAGACGAGCTGCTGTATAAACCGAAAAATAAGTATAGACGGAAGAGGAATAAAAGAGGGTGAATAATGATGTAGTAAATAATAATAACAATAATAATAATAGTAATGATAATAATTTGAATCATTTGATTGTTATTCGGAGCGAGAAATGTAGTTTTCATAGATATAGAGAGTTCATCATTTGCATGTGGGCTGTGATACTGCCCGGGTAAACTAAGCAAGGAAATAGATTGACAAATCAGTATATATTACTTACATGAGGTTATTAATATTAGGTTACTGAAGGTAGCCGATAAGAAGCCATGGATGACTTAAATTTCACACAAGTTGGAACTTATTAGCCATGAATAATTTGAGACTTCAGGGAACTAATGTTTCTTGTAGGATTCGAGCCCGCGTCACTTCACTACAGTTTGAGATGTTACTACTGAGTACTCAGGTCACAAGTGACCACCCGATATATATATATATATATATATATATATATATATATATATATATATATATATCGTATGTATGGTTGATTAACTAGTGCTTGAACCTGCTCCCGCTCAATATCTGCATAGGTGTCCCTATACAGACTGTCTATTGTCCTACGTAATTGATCAGAATGTTTCATACTTCACGTTTATATTGATTACTGTTATTATTATTAGTTGCTTTGTCGGTTGATCATCGACTTCACAGAATTTTTTTGCTAATATTCTCTGTACGTAGGAATAATTTCAATGCATTCGGTCAAATTCTAATTAGACATATATTGAGTTTTTTATACTTAGTATCTACCAAAACTTACATTCAGTTATGTTGTGTGTTTTTGACCACATATTTATAAACAACATAGCATAATCACATATGGACCATCAAAAGTCCAAGAAAAAACGCAAAGCTTACTACCGAAAATGTGCTTTTGGTTCAAAAAAATCTCGTCTGAATGATCAAAACGATAGTGTGTCATGCATTCCGAAAAATTTACAACCCGGCATGACCGGTTATATATTAACTTACAATCAACAGCAACGGTTAGCACATATTGAGACTTATCGTTTGTTAAACCATACTTTAGATGAGATTTCTATTGAAAAGCATGAAAGTGAAGCCTCTGAAAACAACAGTCCTGTAAATACAAATAATGAATTAGTTGGTTCTAAACCTACTAATATGGTTAGTGATGAAAAGAATGATGATACTGATGACTTATACTCACAGTTACTTCGTGAAAATTGTTCAAAATATCCTGCCAATTCGAAAAATAAATTTGGTTTCTACTCTGTGAAAACGCATATCAGTAACTGTTCTTTTATTCTTCATCAGACTAATTTACTTAGTGCTGCAGAACTTTGTAATCGTGTATTCGAAAGATTACTCTCGACTTCCAATGCAGAGTCTCGTTATGTTCTTCGTCTGATGCCTGTTGTAAACACATGTCGGTCAGATTTGCCGTCACTCGAAAATTGTGTGCTAAAAGCGTGGTCGAACTTCCTTGGCCTAGCATCATGTAAAATAAATACAAAATGTTCTAAAGTTGAGGTACCTCTAGACCAGTCAAATGATGAAGAAAACGCAAATAATGATAACGAGTCCTCAATTTTACATGTCCCAAAACAGATTGCTTGTGAATCTACATTGAATGGATCCAAGACGTTTATGATTGTGTTCAAATCTCGTGGTTTTAAAGCTATTACCCGTGATGATGCTATACGCCGTACATTTGGAGCAATCAAATCAGTTGATTCATCTTGGAATTTATGCAATTCATCGCCTTCAGTTGTTGTCTCAATAACTGTCCTGTGTAAGGTGACTTGTATCAGTTTGTTGGAAAATTTCTTCAAATATCGTAAATACAATATAGCAGAAGTTTGCTCACCATCAACTCAATATGACTGTACAAATAACATAAAAAATGACGAATCCAAATAAAATTTGTTTTGCAATACACTTCTCTTTTCTGTTCTGTCGAGTATTGGTGTTGATGCACGTTTTCTACGTTAAGATTTTATGAGTGATTTTTAACCTACTTCAAATCATTTACTATTCTTAGCAAGGTATTCGGGTTAGTCATATTGTCTTTGCAGCAGTGGATCAATTATTATCCAATTAATCTTTTTCCAGGTTGATTTTAGGGAAACGATATATATTTCTTTCCATGTGGTTACTTTTATTTGAATAAGTGGTGGGTTCACTAAATCCTTGATATCATACTGGAAGTAGTTTGGACTCATTGTGTGTTAATTTGGTCCCCGAATTTTTGTTGGGATACTGAATATTCTGTAGAGCTCTCTGGAGTTGAATATATGGTATATATATTAAACTTAGTGAAAAACGGTACACCAGTTGTGATCCCAATCCATCTGAGTTTTTTTCTGATTCTCTTAACCAGGTCTGAAAATTTAAACTTTCAGTTCACTCTGCCTTACGCGTATTGATGCACATAGGACAAAAAACTTTTCTGTTTGAGTGTCATGAATTTCCCGATATTAATGTATACCGTATCCCTGTTACATTACCTCTTCTTCATCTTTCAGTACACAAAGTACGTTTTATGTGTATTTGTTCTATGACAGTTGTGTTGACTAGGCATCAGAGAAAACAGGGTTTTTACTAACAATTCTTTATGTGTTGCTGTACCAAAAGAATCGTTCATTTAAAGACAGAAGTTGTGGCGAATTTACTCCGTTTTCGTCTATTTTGCTCAAACAAATTGGATTATATTTAACATCAGGCATCCTTGCTACCAATATACCAGTGACCTACTCAGTCAAATAAAGTTTGACAACCGTGAATCATGTTAGGAATATGATGCACATTCAATTATCTTAAGTAGGGGTGTCTACTGTAATGTTATATTTTGAAAGGCCTCAGAGTAATTATTGCTACTTAACAGACTCGAAACCAACTGACTGTGAGAATGAACTACATCGGATTAAAACACCACAGGCAGTAATAATCGATCAGAATATATGAATTTGTCAGAGACATTGTAACTAAATGTTTGTGGTGAAATAATTTCCGACTTCACATACACAGTTGAGTAGTTAAGATTCAATAATTGTGAGGTGCTTTCTCTATATCTTTTGAGAGATTCAGTACGATTGGGAAACGGGCGAGTCCATCTACCATTCCCTGCTGTTACTCCTCTGGAGCGACTGCCGGGCCTAAGCCCGTGTGAAGGAGGAGGATCGGACATGGGACCAACATCCTCCTCCCGCAGAAAACAACCTTACTAAAAAACGCTAACCACAACAAACAACTTAAACTCTGTCCTGGAAGTTGAAGGAGGGATTGTGATGCACCATGGTGAAAGCTGAGACCCTTCCGAAGTCACGAGGACGATGTCCCTTCTGAGAATCACGGCAACAACTAATTTAAGTACATGGAATGTTCGGACTATGATAGACCGAAAGGAGCAACCGAATGGCTGCAGAAATGAGGAGATGCAACTTGGCAGTACTCTGAATCAGCAAAACCCATTGGACCCAATGCAGTAGAAAGAGGACAGATTCGAGAGATACTGCTGTACTCTGGTCACGAAGAAGAAAATGTTCTGCACACTCAGGAATTTGCTCTGATGCTGTTCAAAGAAGCACTTAATGGATGAGAATCTCATGGATCCGGAATCATCAAAAAAAGGAGGGAATCACATTAAATGTTATACACCCACAAATGATAGCAACAACAACGATAAAGATCAGTTTGACGAGAGGCTGCAATCAATCACAGCGAAATGCTCAAGAAAGAACCTGAACATCCTGATGGGAGACCTCCAAAGTCGAAATGCGCAACACCGCGTATGAAAATGTTATAACTTGTAACCGCCGATTAGAGAGCAGTGACTTATCGATCGGATCAAGGACGCATAAAACACGTGCGAGCAGCCTAGAATCCTGATTGGTCCTGCTTTCCGCCTAGTCCAAACAGTTAAGTCCAGAACACCAGTCTCAGCCTCTGTAATATGAATCATTTTATTTCAAACATACTGAGTTTATATGCCAATCAAACAGACCACAGCGTACCAATAAAATATGAAACAACATTTGTACATGAATAAGACAGATGTGGCTGTGAATGAGGGAAGTAGTAATTGATATACTGTGTATAACTCAAGAATGGTAAAACGTGTAATAATAGTTTATGGGTCAAAATAAAGCTTATAATAAGAGGAATATGAATATACATAGTTTAGTTACTTAATAATTAAACAATAGAAATATACGTTTAGTATTGGTCCATCAATAGATTTCAAAAGTTACCATTATTCTTCTCGGGACATAACAGAAAATATGCGACGACATGGAATGACTGAGTAAAAGGAACGAGAATGGTGATACTTGCAGATTTATGTGCATTCAACAAAACAGATATAGACAACACTACATTCCCCCACAAACGAATTCACAATGCTATATGGGTCCCACTGAAACACACTACAGAGAATCAGATCAAACATATTTACATCACTAGAAAAGCAAAAGTCAGTGGAACACTTAAGAACTTAGAAAGGTACTGACATTATTCTAGATCACCACCTGATGGTTGGCAAGATGACACTGGTATTCGAAATAGTTCACAGCAATAGGTTCCAAACATTACAAGATCTGCTGAGAGAAGAATAAATCATTATGGAGGGCAAACGGAAAGGGATCAGGGAAGTTATGTGAAGATAGGCCTAATATACCTATTTTGTAAATAGTTTTTTATAGCTTTTGCATTCATTCTGTTAACTTCCACAATCTGTACATTTATCACTAAACGATTGTACTTGTTGGTTTGGGATGTTCACCCTCAACTCGATGTGGACGGTCATTGGGACTTCTTACTGCACACGCTCTTATGTGATACAAACCATTCAGTTCCTCAAACGGTTCCCAAAACTGCAAGCCGCCTACAGTAATCAAGAACCGTACCCTTCGCCTGCTAAGCCGCAAAAGGCACGAACTAATAACGGAGCGTATAGGCAATGTACACATATCAGGAACATATGCACGAAGGCTGTAAGAGAAAACAGGCGTACGTACCAGACAAAGCTTATGGACAAATTTGCCTCTAGCCCTAGAAGCCTATTCCGTTATGCAGCCTCTCTTCGTCAAGCCAAACAGGAGTTTCTCAACTGCTAGGTCTTAGCGGCCCGACCAAAAACGATGGTGACGCCGCTAACCTTCAGGCGGTACATTACTCTCAAACATTTCAGCCGGCTGACATCAACTTTATTGACGATAGTTTCATCTGCAATTCCACAGGACTTTCCGAAGTGGACCTAGGCGCTGATTTGGTGTTCCGGAAACTGCAGCACTTAAGACTAGATACTCCTCCTGGCCCGGATATGGTTCATTCTGCCATACTGAGGGAGGTAGTCTCAATCCTGGCAACGCCGCTTAGCGTGATGTTTTCACACTCGCTAAGCCGAAGCAAATTACCGGAAATTTTGAAGTTGGCTCAGATCACACCAATTTTCAAAGGGGGTCGACGCAACGAACCTTCAAGTTATTGGCCGGTGGCTCTTCTGTCATTACCTTCAAAACTCATGGAGTCCCTGATACGCAATGGTTTAAACGACTATCTACTGTTCTTAAATTTCTTCTCACCCCAACAGCACGGTTTCAGGAAGGGTTACTCTTGTATTACCAACCTGCTGACTGCGGTGGACAGATGGACAAGCATCCTTGATCACAAGGGGAGGTTGATATCATCTACCTAGATTTCTCAAAAGCTTTTGATAGGGTTAACCATACATGTCTTATCAACAAGCTCAAACGATTGGGAATCAGACCACCTCTAATCGATTGGCTCACTTCATACCTAGAAAATCGACACTTTAAGGTTAGGGTTAATTTCACCTTATCTCAGGCGATGGAATGTCCTAGTGGAGTCCCCCGGGGCTCAGTATTAGGGCCTCTTCTCTTCTTGATCTACATAAATGATCTTCCTCAACAGGTAACGTCAGACTTATTACTTTTTGCCGACGACATGAAATTTTGGAGAGAGATACGCAACCAAGACGATACACAGGCACGTCAGGAGGATCTGACTCGACTTCAAAGTTGGGCAGACGATAACGGACTTACCTTTAACACTTCGAAGTGTAAAGTAGTTCATCTGCGACATGTCACAAACTAATTTATAAGTTGTTTATTGTTATATTAACTTTTGGACGTAATAACTTTATTGCTATTCCTTTTTGGTTAATATACTGTTTGGTCCACGACAATTATCTGATGAGCCTCGTGTTTATTCTAATTGTTATATTGTTTACCTTTTTACACGATCCACTGGTTCATTTTTCTCGTAATGTCCTCCCCCATCAAACTTATTGATATAGATTCGCCTCCGGTAACCACTATTATCTCATTGTCGAACTCTGCTGAAAACATTTTAAGTTCAGTTAATACTATCTCAAAATTCAGACTCCCAACTTATGGAGCTAATAACCCAAGAGTCTGGTTTGCCCAAATTGAAGCTTTATTCATGGCTCGAGGCATACGACCTCAGGCAACAAAGTATGCGCATGTAGTCGGCGCACTTCCCATACGATAAGATAAAGGCAGCAGTAATTCGACGCACTTCGGTCTCAGATGAAAAGAGACTGCAACAATTGCTAACGTCTTGTGACTTGGGAGACAAGAGACCCTTCCAACTTCTTCGACACATGAAACAACTTGCCGGTCCATACAAGCTGGACGGAGCCCTTCTAAAACAAATGTGGTTTCAGAGATTACCACATAGCGTTAGACAAATTCTTAGTGTCTCAGGGAAATCCGTTGCCCTTGATGATTTAGCCGACATGGCGGATAAAATGATGGAAGTCTACCACGATAGTCACTGTGTGAACTCTTTGCAACCAGCTGGATCAGCAGACATCAGTTGTTTAGCCTCCTTCCAAAGGCAGTTAACGCAACTAACGGTCCAGCTAGCGTCACTACATACGACAATTGCAACCGT